CAAACTTCACACACACATGGTACATCATGTCACAAATAGATATGTGCATTTGTTTCATGATCTGCTTAACAATAGCGGAATGATGGCCATTTTAAGGCCGAAAATGCATCAAAATCACATATTTTCACAATTCCAGAACCGGATCTCAGTCATGCATGGATGGATTTTGTTCAGATTTAGCACAATGTGTTGTACATATGCAGGTGCATTTCGGTCATGATCTGCTTTGAATGTATATGTCACTCAAATATGAACGGAACGGGGACGTGTCATTGACAATGACTTGTTTTAAATTTGGGATGGTGAGAATTGTTGTAATTGATTTTCATGTTTGGAAACAATCATAACTGCAAGTATGGCAACAATCAATCTGTAACTACTTTTTAAGGCTCAGGAAATTCTTATATGGAAATGCCAGATATGGTACGACACTTTAGCAATGTAGTAAAAGCAAGTAAAATACTTGTAACTGGACTAATACATTGAATAATTACCAGTTTTGATGAAATTGATCGGAATATGTAAATTGTTCACAAACCACAAATTTCATTTATGCTTTGTGTATCATGAAACTGAATTAGTTTAGCCATAACACACCTCTAGTGTTTGTTATTTCTTACATTAGGCCAGTCTTTTTTTTATTCCTTGTTTCTTGAGTTTTTATAAGCCAATTTTTTTGAGGAGGGCCGGAAAAAAAAAAATATTAATTCTATTTTTTCCCCATTACATTTGTGTGATTCTCAAAGAATTGCAAGTAAGATCATTGATTGGAGAGAAGAAATGAAATATAAATTTTATTCCATGTATAACCTTGTTTCTCATCTGCGCGAGACTTCGGTACTTTGATCATGATACTCCCACGAAAATGTAACTTGGATTTGTTATGCGTCGAGCGGTAAAAAAATGAAGATAAAAATAAGTTTTTTTTTAGCAATTTGTTGCACTTACAAGTTGGCGGGCGCGAGAAAATACGCTGAAATGAAATTTTATTTCTATTTCATTTTCGGCTCCTGTTCATTCGGCGGGTTCACGAAACAAGGAATATTAAAAGTCTGGCCTTACAAAAGCTACATTATCAGTCAGAGGGGATATACCGGTTGAAACAGGACTGATATAATAAACAAGAAGTCTTGTACTCTAGCTTGGTAAATGGATAGCCTTTGAGTTGTGAAAGTGTGGAACTTGATGGAGCACCCCCCCCCCCCCCCCCCCACCAAGGCGTCTTTGAAAATTGTTCTTTCACACATGTGCCAGCAGTCAAGTAGGTTCATTGACCTTGGTTTTTCAGACCTTGATATTCATTTGAAATCATCACTGCCATGAACCCCCCCCCCCCCTCCCTAATTTGGCAAAATGTCTTTTCTTCATTACAAAATTAAGATGCAGAAAACGTATTTCTTACTCAAAATGAAAGTTTTTAATGTAAAATGAAAAAATTTACAACCATCCAATCAAACATCTCTCTTGTGCATCTGTTTGTTTTTGGATGATTGACAACAGTAGGATGTTGAAAGAATAAATATGAGTGTGTTTCACAGTGCTTTACTATCCCAAGTGGCACGGTAGAAATTGCGAAAGCAGGCTTTTACAATTATTAAAATTACGCATTACTATTCATTGCATCGCTTAAGTTTGTTTCTGTATTCAATATTCATTGCATGCTTGCAGCTAATTCACCTTACTCTGGATTGGGAACATTGACCCCGCTAAGGTTTTTGGTAATATTCCAAGTTCATTGACCCTGCTATAGTTTTTTGTTAAAATTCAAGTTCATTGATCTAAAACTGATTTAATGCAGGTGCTCCCATAATACTGTGACCTTGCGGCTGGTGCATTTTGCATGGCTTCCCCTGTGTTTGATATTAATTTAATCTGAAGGAGTGTGGTTTTATGAGCTTTATTTCAGAATGAATACATTTATTGGATCAAAATTACAAACAAAAGATAAATCCAAGTGTATGCGACATGAACAATACTGATTATCTTGGCCATTTAAACTTGAAATTGAACCTGATTGTATTATCCTTCACCTCACCCCCTGCTGGTTAGCTATCAAGGGCTTGCATAAAAAAAACATATTTCAACATAAGTAAAACTTTGGTGCAAAGTGATGTGTTACTTATATGCACATTTCTATATCCATGTAGAACACATGTGTAGTTTGCTTTAAAAAAAAAAATTTTTTTTTATTCACTGTTAAATTTATCTGAATAAATTTATTCCAAATCACACTGTACATATTTAATGAACTCTTTGTGTTAAACTTGATTTAATTTTACAGAAACGACATTATAGAGGTAAATAGCACTGAAAACATTGCTTTCAATCAGAAGTATTCAAATACAAAATGCAAGACATTATTTCAGAGATATTTTGGTTCTTCACTGATAAAATTTCCCAAAAATGCAACTTTCAGCTTGTTATTTTTATTTGTTAAAATAAAATAAACTGAATGTCAGTATATCTCACTCATTAAAAATCAAACATTTTTTGTTTTGTATTGGAATCTACATTTGAACTATTTTTAGTTTAGGCTCAGCTCTTAGTAAAATTTTGAAACCAGTTTTAAGGTTTCCACCAAGAATCGATAGCTAAGGTGTTGCACCATTAATCTCAACTGTTGGTCTTTACTGCAATAAATCCCACCATGCATTGCTGTTGGAATTCTGCTTCAGATGTATGTTAACCACAACTAAACCTAGTGGTGGTAACACAAGTAAAAAAAACTGCTATACAACAACTCAGTCTAGTGTGCACTAAAATAAGTTGAAAATTGTTAACATTGGTTATTGATTTTATAACAGGATTCTGTGAGCGATTCGGTGACCTGATCACACCATTGAACAGAACAGAACTGAACAATAAAAAAGGGGAAAATTAAAGTTCAAAATCAAACTTTTGATCCCGCAGGATCTTGCCGTGAAAATCATTTTCTGAATGGACATGTATTGTAAAACGCGTAGGAATAGGGGGGGAAAAATGCAATGCTTGCGCAAAAATAATAAAATTCATCTCTGGATGGCAGATGAAGGAAACTTGTAATCAATATAAAATTGCTATTTGGCTCAAATACTATTTCATGTAGATATTATATTTTTTGTGTCAGAAAATAATGTGCAATTGATTCCCTACAAAGCTTTGGCCACAATCAATACTTGTTGTACAAGTTAGGAAATTGGAAGTAAAAAAATACTTCTCATTTCTATATTTTCTCAAAGTTTCAGCTGCTTTATTTAGCTTTCAATTGTAAAGAGTTGTTAGTTTAGCTTCTTGGTATAAACCCTAATTAGGACAGCTCTGTTGGCTCACCAGGAGGTCTAGAATGCTGTCAGGAAGTCTATGCTGGAGTACATTCTTTGCTAATGAACTACAACATTGCAGTATTTTTAGCTTGGATTGGAATTATTGATTTATAGCTGCGCTACATGGTTGTTTTTCAGTCAATATTAATGAGCCACAATAATCAAATTAAAATTGCACCCCATCTACATATATACGCTGTAGAATGAGATCGGACCGCATGGCTCCCTGCTGCTGTCTTGCGTCATGTCAGCCTTCCCGTAATTTAGCATATCTTAGAGTAAAATAGTGAGCATATTTATACAGTATGGAAATAAACCTGTTTTTCTGAAACCTTGTCTTCTTATTTTTGCAGGTGGATCAAAAATTCTTGAAAAAACATGAGGTTTGCAAAGAAACACAATGTACGCCATCCACAGCAGGTCAAGAAAGAATAAACCCTGACCGGATCTACTGTTAACATCAAAGACTGTTTGCTGTATTGATGAATACGTCTATCAACATCGTTTGTAGATTTTCTTGATGTTAATAAAAACTGCAGACAGTTAAGACAGTATTTTGTTTTGCTGAATATGTTTTAATACTATGTTTGGTTCATCAAGGGTGTGAGTGGGTGTTTAATCAGTGTGTGTTTAATCATTCTACCATCAAAGCCATTATCAGCGACACACACAAATTTTCCTGGCACGTCATTGACCAATAAAACAAAATCATACATTGAAAAGTGATCTTGAAAAATATCTTACTATGTTTGAGGAACTAGTAGTTTGGTAAATTTTATTGGGCCACGAATTTGCTATGACGCTCAATAAGATGAACAGATTTGCCGCACAGGTTCATGAAAAGAGAGATGATATGAAATCGGAAGATGGATTTTTGGTTCAACTCTTGATCCTTAAAAATTCAGTTACTGGTATGTTAGTAGGCAAAATGTGTTTAATACTGCGAGTTTGGTTCAGCAAAGTTACTGCTTTGTTGAGAAATAATTTTTCATGTAAGTTGGTCGGTTGTTAATTTGACACTTGGTCAACACAAGTTTGGTATTAAAAAAAAAATGAAGGCACAACTCTGAACATGACCAAGTAATACAATTTAAGACCATGCAACCAATACTTGATAATGATCAAAATGGTTCATTTAAACTATAACTCTGTTTTGCCCACCCTCACGTTTCCCATTTTAGATCTGTGTCCCACTGAAAAGGGTAGTTATTGATTTTTTTTGCTGAAAATGATTACTCGTGTCCAAGTAAATTTGGGATATTTCTCGCAGTGTAGCCACGCCCACCTATCGTGAAACGGTCGACTGTTTCCGGATTTCCGACTCTCGCCGAAAGTGCGCCACCAAATGACAAAATGCGAGAGGAAGTCATACCCTGAGCTGTAATAACACTGGTCGTTCAGTATACTTTTAAACGATGTACATTTTTCGGTTGGCGTTTAGTCTTTTTTTTTTTTTTGTCTTTTTTTTTTTGAGAGAGAGTTTTTAGATGTTGCAGTGAAACGTATAGCCATAGTGTATGTATTCACACATTTCTAATCGATCCAAAGGTGCAACATCACTTAACCTTAGATTCATTCAACTGTCCTCGTCCATAAAAAAAAACGACTAGGTTTAAAGAGAAACGCCGACAACGTAAACCTGGCGCAACACTTTTGAAAGAAATAGATTCCGGACCAGCCCATGATCACCGAGGCGGATTTCAAAAGAGAGAGAGACGTCCGGCAAGTGTTTCAAATCAGTTGACTTTTTTTGCGTCGGACAAACAGGAAATTACACAGCCCTTGCACACTGCTAACTGTTTTCATTTTCGAAGGCTAAAAGTTTCTGAATTGTTTGGTGATTGGTGTTGAATGTCGAATTCACACCTCTGTTCTTTTTTACCTCCATGCTTGCAGCTTGATCTGCGTAATAATTTAAGAAATAAGAATCCGGGCTTGGTCAATGCGTTTCCACCAAATAAAGTTTGTTATAATTATGACAATCACGCCATGGATCAAGCTAACTCGAATCCACTCTGAATTTATCTGTATGTGTGTCGATCTCGATTATTTTTGTTATCCAATTAAGCGCCGCTTTTAACGCACTTGCCCTCGCCGTGACTCGACGCGTTCACCTATTTCAACAAAATGTCAATTTATTTCCACAAGGCTGTCATTTATTTAGTAACTGCGATTTGTCGTTTTTTTTAATTATTTTTTAGTGATCACTGTAATTTTGAAAGTTTTACTCAGACGATCGATGAAATAAAACAGTGTAGTGACGTGCCTAGTAACCTGCTAAATAACAAGATAATTCCGACGTCAAATTCTATTTTGTCCAGCAACAGTGTACAAACGTGCGCCGGTGTCAGTGACGATCACGGTGACCAGCTGCACCAGAACGGACATATTTCGCATCTAACTCAACCCCATGCAACAGAAATTGATACTATGTGTTCATTATGGTCCATTCTTCCTCGACGAACAAGTACATAAGTGACAATATAGTCAAAGACGAGGAAACTGCACAAGAAATTTGCCTTATTTACACGTATCGGCAATGCAAGCTGCCATGTGACTTCTCCTTCTGACGTCACAAGAGGAATTTCTGTATGCAAATGAGAAGCTAATGAGGAGCCTCGTTTTCAAATACACAAAAATGAAGTTGCCGTAGACTAAGTTTAAAACATATTTTTTCACTAAAAAAAAATAATTCATGCTTAGAAACATAAAAATTAATAATATTTATGTGTCAATTGATAATTTTAGGCGTGAAAATAGCAGCCATTTCACAGGCACTTTAAGTCTCAAGAACTGTCACCTGACACAAAAAAATAAAATTAAAGCTCTAACCTGGTAGCCATTTTGAATCAATATTTGTTCAAAATCTACATGCAACTGAGGTGCATATTTTAAAAAATAATTTGGTTATTCATTTTTTTCTATGACTTTTTATTACCCGGTAGTTGGTTGTATGAAATGACTAAGTGCATTTCTGTGTCAAAAGTGTTATTACAAATGTCCCTGATAGCTCCATGGACCCTGATTTGAATTTCATTTGTGTGTGTGGGGGGGGGATTTCCAATTGGTTTATTATTATATACACCATTCAGCTAGTTTTAAAATAGGCACCCTGCAGGAAAATCCGGGTAAAAAGGTTTTAGCCACAGTGGTAAATAAATTGATTTCCTAGTCAGTTACCAAATAGCCACTTGGCAAACTACTAAAAGAGTGATATTTTGTGCATTATTATGTTTTCCAGATTGGAATTTGCTATTCTCTAAGTGATTTGCAGCTTTTCCCAAAATATATTGTGTATTGTGATTTCTCTTTTTCCATTGGTTGTGAAAGTAAAATGTGCAATACCAGCTGGTAGTGATATTAGAAACCAGGATAATGTAGATCATTGTGAAAGATTCATAATTTTCCAAGTTCTCAAATACAAGTGATGCTTGTCTCAGATTCCAGACATTTTGGCAAGTCTCTATTAGCTGGTATCAATTCATGCAATCACGTCAGCTCTAGAGAATGCATCTGTAGCGAGTCCTGCGTGTATACAGTTTTAGACTGAAAAGATGCCCCATGTGATCATTTTGTGCAGTCCGAGAAAAACAATTTATGTCAACCTGGTGGTGATCATTAGCGTTAATGATGTCAAATTAAAATAATCCCATGCATACTGGGAGAGTTGTGAAAAATGCAGTGGGTGGATGCTAAATTTGGAACAAAAATTAATAATACTTCAAACGATAATTAGTTTCATGTTGCGATGACAATTATATGGTGGTGTTTGAGGTTTGTGCTCACTGATTTGGAATTTAGTGTAGAAACCCTGATTAATGAAAAAAAAAAAGGTTACAAGTTATTGTATTGTAAATGCTTATGATCAGTTTGTCTCGAAACCTATTAAAAATACACACTTTTACATGAATTGGTGGTTGTACACTAGATTGGATTCTTCATTTTGCTAGATTCAACTTGACTACCGTATATACCGGTAAGATTTTATTTCACGAGACTAGATCTGACCCCACTACACTATCTGACTCCTTTCCACTACACTAGATTGAATTCCACTACACTAGATCTGACTTCGCTTCACTAGATTGGACTCCAGTACACTAGATCAGACATGACTATACTAGATTGGACTCCAGTACACTAGATCTGACTCCTTTCCACCACTACACTATCTGACTTTAACTACACTACACTAGATTGGACTTCAGTACGCTAGATCAGACATGACTACACTAGATTGGACTCCAGATCTGACTCCACTTCACTTGATTGGACTCCAGTACACTAGATCTGACTCCACTTCACTAGATTGGACTTCAGTACGCTAGATCAGACATGACTACACTAGATTGGACTCCAGATCTAACTCCACTTCACTTGATTGGACTCCAGTACACTAGATCTGACTCCACTTCACTAGATTGGACTTCAGTACACTAGATCTGACTCCTTTCCACCACTACACTATCTGACTTTAACTACACTAGATTGGACTCCAGTACACTAGAACTGACCCCACTACATTAGAACTGACTCCTTTCCAGTACACTAGATCTGACTCCACTACACTAGATTGGTCTCCTTTCCACTACACAAGATCTGACTCCACTATACTAGATTTGACTCAAGTACTCTAGATCTGACTTCTTTCCACTACACTAGATCTGACTCCACTACACTAGATTTGACTCAAGTACTCTAGATCTGACTCCACTACACTAGATTGATCTCAAGTACTCTAGATCTGACTTCTTTCCACAACACAAGATCTGACTCCACTACACTACATTTGACCCCCTTCCACTACACAAGATCTGACTCCACTACACTAGATTTGACTCAAGTACTCTAGATCTGACTTCTTTCCACTACACTAGATCTGACTCCACTACACTAGATTTGACTCAAGTACTCTAGATCTGACTCCACTACACTAGATTTGACTCAAGTACTCTAGATCTGACTTCTTTCCACAACTCTAGATCTGACTCCACTACACTAGATTTGACTCAAGTATTCTAGATCTGACTCCACTACACTAGATTTGACTCAAGTACTCTAGATCTGACTTCTTTCCACTACACTAGAT